ACCTTGAATAGTGTAATGACACAAAAAGTACGCTCTAAAACGAAGTGTGATTATTATAAGATTAAAACTTGGTTGGCAGTCACGTTTCTTAATTCAGTCATTGAAGAGTCAGCCACACCATTCGTTTAACTCCTGATGCCAATGACATTATCTCACCCCTCCATATATGGAAGTATTATTCCATGCTTTCACAAATAATGTGAATAAATAATCATTGTGGAACAAATCCAATTGGTTGTAAAACACTTTCGACAAAATCTTGTGACTTTTATGTCATTCAGATATATTTATATAAAAACTGATTTGTTAGAACATGCTAATGTGATATAACGATATTTGATTCTAACATGGACGTATTTTTCTGCACTGTCTTACTAGTTGTACTGCAAACCAATTTAGGAGTTTATTCATTGTCGGATATACCGGATGGTGGATCTACGCAGCCGGCAGCTGTTACAGTGACACCACTACCAGCACAAAGTTCTAATCTAAGTGATGATTCACGGGATAATAAAGATGTACAGACGGAAGTACCGGAAATGTCGAGGCTGCCGGAAGCACAGAAGAAACAAGTACCAGTCCAGTTGAATTGACGGAAAAAGTGGAGGAGAAAAAGATCCCTATGCTTGGTGGCAACGAAGAAACTATACCACCTGGATTCAGACACAAAGGCGAAAATGAAACTTCAACAGAAGACGAAAACAAAGAAGAACGCAAAGGTAAATTGGTTGATGTAGTAGTGCAAACACCTCCTGAATTTTACAAACCTAAAACTGCACATGACAAAACATCAGTGTTCTATAAATTAGTAGTGAGAATTATGGAACGATTAGCAGTAGCCTTTGAGAAAATATCCAACGATGTGGAGAAATTCAAGGAAAAACTCAAACTTTATAAAATCTGAGAATATGCTTCAGTGAAGTGAAGTGAAGTTTGTTTAACACGCTACTTTGAGATTAAATTCAATGACTGAGTGATTTTTAATCGTTTTTGTTGTTTGATTTTGCTCATGCATTGTGAAACTGAGTATCGTTTAATTTTGAAATTAAGCTTTTGTGGAAATTTGTCAATACAATGTTTCCTTTATGATCATTATTATTATTATTGTTGTCTCGTTTAGTTCCTCGAGGATTATAGGGCTTCAGGCGCACGTCTCTATTGCGTTAGGTTCTCTGCCACGTGTTCACATGGCTCCTAGTCTACTCTCATGCTTTCATCTCCTCTTCTCGTCACCTACTACCTCAATGCCACCCTAACACTAACGACCAACTAACTCACCGCTCCCAGTTCGGGTTCCACTCGAGAGAGAGACACCCTGGTGTGTGATGTCATTTGGTGGTTTGCTTTCTCAGAGTATGGCCTCCAATCCACCTCCATTTGTTCCTTAAATGGTAAAAATCTGACAATGTGTGAGACATCCTCCTTTAGCAGAGTTATTCAGTAGACTAAGTACAGCAGAGCAGAATGGAGTAGAGTAGAGTCGATCGTTCGAAATGAGAAATAGAAAATATTTATCATGCGAAATCATGAATCACCAAACTACATGAGAAATTCTCTAATAATGACTTGTCTACTAAACAAAGTGTTAATGAGACTTGTGCTTATCTTTCAATTATGAATCTTGTCATCTAGACATTAAAGTATATATTCATAAATGAGGCACAAGTTTAATTGAGCTGAGAGTTGCGCTTTATCATGAATAGTAGGCCTCCTTGAAGAAATCACGGCTGCCATAAGAATAAGAATAACTCCTTCATTCTAGAAAACGATCACATGTTATATTGCAAATAATTCACTCCTTCCGAATATGAAATCTAAAAATGTAACTCATAAATCGGTGAAGTCTGTTAACTACTGCACTCACAGATAGTCGTTTGATTCATACTGTTAGTATACTGGATTCATTTATCGTTACAATCCACTACAATATTTCTTTTTTCAGTTTGGTTAAGGAGTACAGAAATCGATGAATTTGATGTCTGATTTCAGGACATATTTGACGAAGTTAAAACTCAAACAGAAGGTATAATTCCAGGAATTCTAGGAAAAGATGTATCGGTGAATGATTCCATGAGGTTATCGAACTGCAGGTTTCATCTCATTCAACTGTGGGTGCGGATGTCGCTTGTTTAAGTCTGTTGGTTAAAGTAAAGGTGAACCATTTGACAGGCTGATGTGTTACATTCGCTTGTTCGCGCAATCACTGTGTAGCTAGTTATGCCAACATCAGCGTGCTAAAATTCGTCTCTCAAGATACATTTCATATCTCAGACAGTCAGTTTGTAGTACTGATGATTAGTCTTCAAAGAGTTACCTGATCTAAGTAGGTCAAGTTCATTGGATGTTGTAGGACATAAAAATGAGTTAGCATATAAAGGCATCTTGTATACCTGTCAACATCACTCAGCTTCTAAAAGGTTATTTCGGTTACCCAAGTTTCAAAATGGCATATACATGCATTTATGTATATCGCAAGTATGAATGGCGACCTGGTTACAACGTGTGCTAGTGGAAATCTCCGTCAAACTAATGTAATGCACATAAGCTCGCTTATTATGGTTGTTTAAATTCAGTAAAATATGACTTCCAGCGAACATTTAAAATATTTACAACCTGCTTATTTTTCGAGATTACATCAAACTGAAGAAAAAGCATAATCCTCGCTGGGAGTTTATCACAATACTTGAGATAACTGTTCTCCTGAGTGGTGCCCTTAGTTCACAAAATGTACTCCTAAACTTTCTTTAATTGTCATTCAACAAAATGTCGTCTTTGTATTTCTCGAAGCAGTCAAAGAAAGATATCGGAATAGAGTGGTTTGTTCTTCAGGTTACATAGAACTGTGTCACACGATCTATTGTCCATTAGTCTTTTATTTGAATTTAGAACAACACATTTAAGCGAACAATATTGTTTTTAATTAGATCTCATCAGGCTTAACTCTAATATATATAAGTTTATTAATAAAATTCAAATATAAACCAATTATGTTGTTTTGTCTATGGGATAAAACGATGGTGAATATAAATTGTGCAATTAGTGATATTAGTAGTAATGATAGTAATAGTAATAATAATGGTCTTGTCAATAATAAGAATGAAAAAGTGAGGCAGTCTGTGATAACGCGAATAATGAAAAACAGTATGATTAAACAAACAATTGTTCAGGTGAAAGCAGTCGATAAAGGCTAGTAAAAACAAATGAACCGATTAAGTAATGCTAGATTGTAAGGGAAGTAAATGAAACACGTTTTTAACGAAGATGTGATAAGAATAAGGGATGATAATAGAGGGATTGGAAATATAAACAAGGTGTGGTGTAGAAGCCTTTAGTTGGTTGTTTTTAATAGGCCAACAAGGGAGAGACAATGGCTGTACGAACTTTTTTGAATGCATAGTTTAGGTTTATTAGTTCAAATGCCTATCGCCTACCTCAGCTGTATGCGTGCAGTAGACGAATACGAAGTCTATTAGAAAGATTCTGTGGGATACGATGAATTACTTTGAAGGCTCTCGTTTTCTCGACTACATGACCACTGTCAATTACATGTGACAGAATTGAGCTACGGATTGTTTTTGTCTGTCCTTTGCCAAACCACGATGATAGATGTTCAGTAAAACGTTTATTGGATAAGCTGTCTAGTAGTGCACCCTACATAACTGTCACTGCAGATGCAGTTGAATTGATAAATACACATAGATGTGTGGCGAAACTATCAAGCTTATCTTTCATTTGCGTTCCAATCATTCGTCGGTTAGAGAATGACAAACATAGGTGTGCTGCGTGAAATGTTCTTCGTATACTCCTTGAAAGTCTTTGGAATAGAATCTCACTTGATAAGTCACCATTGAATTGCAACTTAATAAATAGAGGTTTCTTACGTGCAATCGGAGTTTCAGGTGTTTTCTCTGATGTTTTCATATGTTTCTTTATGAAACTACTTGGATAACCCATCTCCGTCAAGGAATCGTGAATATATTCAAATTCCTTTTGTAAGAGTTCATCCGTACATATCTTTCTTGCTCTGCTCGCGAGACATTTTACAACATTCCTTTTATATTTATTGGACACGTAACTAAGGAAGTGTGAGTATTGAGTTGTGAATGTCCTTTTTCTTTACACGTTTCTGCCAAGTGACCCATCTTCTCTCTAACTTAGAAAGACATCCAGGAAATGTAGTTTATTCCCCTGCTCCTCTTCACAAGTAAAGGTAAGCGAAGGGTGGACGTTGTTGAGTTTCAGCAACAATTCGTCTATGTTAACATTCCATCAGCTAAGATAGATGATGTATCATCGACATATCAGTAGTACATATCAAACTGCTTGATGATGTCCTTCAGTTTCCGGTTTTCAAATTTGGCCTAATGATGAACCTATGGAGTTTACTGAATGTACATTATTTTTTTATTGTTGGCAGCTGTCCACTAGCGTCGTTTTGAATCTAGTTAATTCATCGTCCGATGATGGGGTAAGATTTGACGTTTGAGAATACAAATTTTCAAATCGTATATCAGGGTCTAATTGATCAACTTTAGGAGCATAATCACTAAATTTAGGACCTAGGGATAATACCTCCAGTTGACGCTTATTAAGCACGACACTGGAAAAATTGTGAACACAATAGCTCGGATCTGGCGGAATATCGAAGAGAGCACATATCATGCAATAAACTCCGTATTTTATATAAACATTGTTCAGAATACAGGGATGCCTATTGTATGATTTTGTACTATTAGGAGCCTATTACTAATTTCATGAATAACACTACTCTGATAAGGCTATTAGCATTGAATAGCGAAATGTCATTCATTGGGAAATATAGAAAACCTTTATTATAATGAATAGCATATACCCAATCACGAAAGTTTTCAAACTGTTAAAAGTGAACTTGCTTTGGACATATGCAATATACAAAAGTCATTTTTCGAAAAAAAATGTAATTAATCACACCAATAGAAATATTTGAAAACTTTACAACAAGTGAAAAATATTACAATTACTTTAATGACCTTCATCCACACATTTTGATCATTCCGAATTGAAGAATTCCTAGGTCGATATCTAGTGATTGATTTAGCAATATTCGTGAATTCTTGTAGCACTGGTCCTTGATATCCTGTATTTCCATCTCTGCCTATAAGTTCTGTTAACTGTGATGTACTCAGCAAAGGTTGACTGTCTTCATTTTGTGCAACTATTCTATTCAAAGCCTCTTCTATACTCATTTGAAATTGTCTTTTCACTAAAGTGGGTTCATTATCAGCAGTTACTGCGACAATGTCAAATGTTGCTTGACAACATTTCATGAATATGTGATGAAGGATGATGATAGGAAGATGCTCAGGAGGAATACTCTTGAAAACACGATATCTGGTAGTTTCATATTTGTGTTGATCAGTATGATTCAGTTTATTCAATGTTCAATGGTCAATAGATATTTATTCAATTTGTCTTTTGACATACTGTGAATAAAAGGAGAATGAGTACAGCAGGTGAGACAAGTTAACTTTAATATTGCAGAGAAAAGAGTTTGGCCGTGTGTGTGTGTGAGTGGCTGTGTGTCAACTTTCTGTTGGTTGGTGGTATTCGATATTCTACAAAATGGACAGAGGCTAGTGATCACCTTTCATTAATATAAATGAAAACAAATTAGTGAGTGAATATTCTCAACAATTAGTAATTGAGCATTGGTTTAAGGAAGAAATTGTCTTAGAGAAGTTTTGTTTCTTATTTTAGTGAATGGTGACTAAGTGTGGATCATAGTGTCTGAGACATGGCAGCTAGATTCCCTTCGAGACTCGACCCCTGCATTTTTGGCCCAAAATCACTAGGAAGATACGAGTGTATTCCGGCGATGAGTGCATCCTGGATTCCATTTATGTTCACGTTCAATCAAAGTATCACTGGGTTACTTAGACCACAAATATTTGATGCTGTGTTTATGATAATCTAATCTTCGGTATCTTTACCCGCACGTTAGTGGCGTTAAGGTAGGATGCTCACCAATTATGCACGTGCTTGAGGGTTTGATTCCCGGCCAGCGCTTATCCTGCCTCTTTTAGCCAGTTATAAGTCAAACAAAGAGTGAAGTTTGAGCCTGAGAATAGCAACCCTATCCAGTGAAGAAACATCAGTGCTAGTTAGACTTCAAAGATCTGTTTTGCGGTCTAATATTCTTTCCACTCATTACTCAAAGGAATAAAATATAAGTATCTTCACATGCAATTTACCTCTAACCCTAGAGTGAATGGTCAAAGGTACAACCTTAGTGTTTATTTCAACGTCACATTAAATACTTACTTAACGTTAATCAGTGTGTATTGATCATTATATTATTATTGTTGATTCCTTGGGTTACTAGTGGAACATAGGGCTTCAACTGCACATCTCCACTTACCACTTCTGTCAACCTTCTGCTGTACTTTTCCCTGCATCTATGTTAGTCCATACTGTCTCAACTCCTCTTCACACGATCTCCTCCATGTTACCCTTGCACTGACGTCCTACTCGCCGCTTCCCATTCTGTCGGATTCCACTTGAGCAATGGCTGACGTGCGCGTGACGTCACCCAGCGGCGGCCTCCTCAGCGAGTGTCCAACCAATCCATCTCCACTTTCTCCTGCATATTTACTGTTGTTGGGCGATTGCTTCTTCTTTTATTTGTTTGTGCCATAGTTTCTTGTTGGTGATTCTTTCGTCCGGTCATCTAATCTACAGTATAGAGCCAGCGAAGACAGTTGTTGGTTAATAAAGGTCTGCAACAGGCTGTTGGAAATATTCTGACCTGACGTTTGTATTGAAAATCCAACCGAATTTTGTTGTTGATGCTGAAAAACGAAGATTGGTTTTTCAAATTGGTTTCAGGTTGATGAATGTGTTTCTCGCCTTCCCGATTCTTGATTTGACATCCTCGTCGATTCCGACAGCCTGTAGTTGGGACAATGCTCCCTAGATGATAAGTGAATAAAGTAACCTCTTTGAAATCCCTCCCGTTGATGGTGGTTGGCACTGAATGTTGCTGCTGTTGTTGTTGGTTGTTTGGTTATTTTCGTAACCTCCGTCTTGTCTATGTTCACTCGTGTCATGAGAAATCAACAAATTCTTTCAAATTGCAAACCAACGTGCATACAATACATTTTGCAGAATGAGGCATGAAATCTTAAGTATATAATGCTCCGAGTATTCATATCTCCCTATCAAACAACGTATATGTTAATATGGAATGGTAGTAATGAATGGTAATATGAGATTACAAACCCTAGTTATACATCAGTCAGTTTATACAGTATCATTGATTGACATAATAATGAAGCCATTTAAAGTCACCAAAATGAGAAAAAATCAACAGAGAATCACAGTAGATGAAGCATCCTGACGAGTAGAAGGAAAGCAGAGAAAGTCAAACGACACTTCGAAGGTATGGAAGTTGACCACATTTTAACAACATTATTAAGGATTTTGATTACACCGTTCCACCATGAGCTGACATCGGTTAGAGAACCATTGGAAAAACAGCACTACAGTACTGCCAGACAGCTATTTCGACAGTGTCCGAATCTTCAGCAGTAGGTATCCATGCTTCTCTGGTTACAAGGCGAACTCCAAGACTATTAAGCCACTGATCACGAATTCTCACTAGATCCCAGGTAACTACCAGCTGAAAAGGGCCATTCAGTAGTGAGCATCAGATTACTATTGAAGTGTCTCTTCGACGGGGTTTAATTGGTTACACGAATTCATCATGAGCTGACATGGTTCTCTGAACGATGTCATCCCATCATGAAATCCTGTAAACAATCAATCAATCCCTACAAACAAACATGTGAATAGGGAATTTTTCTGTTCACAGATTTAAGAAAATATCCGAGTCGAATTCTGAACAAAAGCGAATTTCTCCCAAAAAATGTGACACTTTCTGATGAAATTTGTGAGTAGCCATCAGCAGATTTCACCTAAAAATATAAAATAAATGAATATGGAGAACTCTTCTCAGACCTCTACACCTTAATTGTTTTGCTGATTGAAGAGAGCATATAAAACATAAGGAAACACACACACACAGAAGAAGATGTAAGTTTCATCATATGGATACAGCATCAAAAAACAGTTAAACTTGGTCTTATTTTCATTAGAGTTGATACACTGGGTCTGTTAGACACGGAATCGACAGCCGTAACAGATATGGGTTAAAACCATTATCTAGTGAAAGAAACCACCAAGATTGAACTAAAAGGCCTCCAAACGAGCCGGAAACAGATAAAAAATCAAGTTGAGGACTTAGAAAATGAAGGGTGAAACCATGAATGAAAGCTTTCCTGCGGTCATTGAGAGAAAAGTCAACTACATTAGTCAGAATCACGTAGAATACCGGCATGGTAACATACTGTAACTACCTGAAAGCGACATAGAAGAAAACCTGGATAGTCATCCTAGCTAAGATGAAGAGGTATGACAGAAAATTCCTCTCTTTGGACACCTTGATGCCAACTGAAGGAAAAGACATAGTGAAGTGGAGGATGAGTCATTGCGGAAATCAACAACCATAGCAGTAGATGAACTTGAATGAAAGCGTATTAAACAAAAATGAGTGAAGATGACTGCTAAGAAAGACAAAAGACAATTCTACAACAAACTGACTACTGGAGCAGTACAGGCTGCAGATAAGAGAGATTTTAGAAAACTATATCAAAAAACTAGGTCACTACCACCTAGGAAGAGATAATCTCGTATGAAACCAATGAAGGAGAGTGAAGTAAACCTAATTATCAAAGTGGAGAAGAAAAGGCAAACTATGGGGGGATCAGTTCAAACGACACCTGAATTGACCACCAACTACAAGTCTTCCAGAAATACCATCAGCGGACACAAAGCTAGTAGTGGTCACATAACCTCACAGAAAAACACAAATCTTGAAGACCATAAAGTTACTGTAACCTAGATGTGAAAGCGATGGAGCCAGTTGAATTCCTCAGGAAACACTGAGAACCTCTCCAGAGGTTTCGACGAACGTGCTCTCACTACTTTGAAATCTCTGTGGAGATTTGTTGCACTCATTCAGCACAAAAAAAGATTTGATTTCTTCCTAACACCATTGTCATCTGAGTGATTCTATGTGGTTTAGACATTAAGCACATTTTTGAAAGACTACTGAAAACATCCACTGAAAGGTGCCTTCAGTGAAGATGTGATTGTCATCCAGACAGTGAGGAAGGAAGAGCAACGAGGAATTGTGATATTGGACTAACCAAAAACCTATTGTGTTCTCAATGTGCAAAACGACATATACTGATGTGAGCAGTGACTGAGATCACCAAGCAGGATGTCGAACGAAAATGTTATCGAAAGCGACAAGTTGAGCATGTGTTAAAGCATGACATAGAGGAAATAATGTGAGGAATGGAATGTTTTGGATATTTGCACAGCCATCTGGAAAAGACTACATAGAAAGGAGTAAAGTGGTAGTTCAAATCTGTGTGGAGGTCAACAGCACTCAGCATCAAAAATAAGATCCGGATTTTCAACTTCAATGTAAAGTCAGTGCTACTATACAGATCAGAGACTTGGCGAGTCATAAAGAGCATCTCAAACAAACTTCAACCTTCATTAACAGCTGTCTTCGCTCAATACTCAAGATCAGATGGCTGGCCAGAAAAGATCAGCAACAGGGATCTCTGGGAGCGAACCAATCAGGAACCGATTGTGAAACAAATAGGCAGGAAGAAATGGAGATGGATTGCCATACGCTGAGGAAACCATCAAGTGACATCACTAGACAAGCCATTGCTCTAGTGGAACCCGAAAGGGAGGCGGCGAGTTGGTCGTCAGTGCAAGGGTGACTTGGAGGAGGTCATGCGAGGAGGAGATGAAAGCATGTGGACAGACCTGGAGCAGGGTGAAAAAGTTGTCAGAAAACCGAAGTCAATGGAGGTGCGCAGCTGAAGCCCTATGTTCCTCTAGGAACTAAAGGATACAATAATAATAATAATAAATAATAAAGTGGTAGTTCACTGTCAAAACCCAACGTTCCAGAAGGAATCCAAGGAACAGTTAATAATGATAATAGCAATAGGAACATAATACTCATTTAAGAGACTCTTCTCGACAAATTTAACATCAATAGATGAAATAATAATGGTACTATTGAACGCACGAGATATAGTTTATAAAAAACCATATATATGCATACGATTGTATTGACTGATAATAAATTCGTTGAAGACAGTCTCTTCGCTGAATATTATGTTCTTAATGTTACAACACGATTTATTAAATTATTTAGGAAATCACATTATCCATTTTCATTGCTAGGCAATTATTGATAAAGGCATATTTATATTATCGCATCAGGTGGTCTGAGGACACCATCAGAAATATGCAATTTGCCTAAGTCTTACACGCATTTGTAGGGCATCTATTTATCTTCATGAGGATAGCTTCAAGTCCAAGTCATCCAACACACTGCGGTTATGCACCTGCCGTTGAGGTATTTTGGGTATAGCTAACCTTCTGTAATCTTCCGCTGAACGCATTAATTTCTCACTAAACAACTGAATAATAATAATGATTCGCTTTATTACAAAAAAAGTTCTATTGATACACAGTGTGGTATTTTCAACATTTGGTACATTATTACAATTATAGCTTTATCTAATAACATTAAATCAATTTTAGGAATAATAATAATAACACGATTTTTAATGACAGTTCTTATTTGGTATTTAAGGTGACAGTGAAGTCATATATATATATACAAAAAATAATTGTAAATAGTAATCATAATATTACTAGCTAAGATTGTTAGTTAGTCGAAACAGTGTCCCGTAGATTACAAATAGGAGACAATAAAAGGCTAGTTACTTAGCTAACAACATAATTTCACGCTTTACATTGTCTCTATTACATAGAACATGGGCTGCCACATAGGTATCCTTGAGTTCCTATACTTGGTTGTGCGAGCTGAAACATTTTGTACTGACTTCTAATTCTACTGAACGAGAGACATGGGGAGAGTTGGGAATAGAGGGGCTGAGTGTTGAGGGTCCGACAATACAGATTTAGACCGTTTATCGTATGAGTTCAGATGTCTGTCGACTAATGCTTTGACAAGCTGCTAAGTTGCACACCAATTATCCTACTAACAACCCTTAACAGCTTTGTCAATATAACAGAGTCTTTTATTAGTAGCCCAGGAAAAAACTGAGGGGCAGCAGTCAAGTCCAGTAGGTAACATGCAAGAGTTAACAAACTGTAAAAGCAGGGATTGAATGATTCAAGATTGTTTCAGCTTGCTAATGTAGTAGCTTAGACAGAAAATCTTCCCGAAGATCGATAAAATATGGGATGACCAAGTAAAATGAAATGATGTCATCATACCAAGATATTTGTGTTAGACCTAGTTTCTATTACAGTCTCCTCTATGCTACAAGTATCATAGCAACTAAATTGAATCATTGGAGAGCCAGTCAGACAATTACCCGAAGACCACTAGTTTAACTCCTGATGCAATGGATATCATACCACCCCTCAGTATATCGAAGTAATATTCCACGTCATCAAAATAATGTAAATAAATAATCATTGTGAAACAAATCCAATTGGTTGTGCACGCTTTCGACAAAATCTTGTGACTTTTATGGCACTTAGATATACTTATATAAAAACTGATTTGTTAGAACATGTTAATGTGATATAACGATATTTCATTCTACTATGGACGTATTTCTCTGCACGGTTTTACTAGCTGTACTGCTGCAAGCCAATCTAGGAGTTTATTCATTCTCGAATATACCGAGTGGTGGAACTATGCACCCAGTAGCTGTCACAACGACGCAACAATCAACACCAAATACTAGTCCACCTGTGAAAGTTGAAAGTGGAACTTCAACACCAAAACAAAATAAACAAGGAGGCAAAGGTAAATCAGTCAGTGTATCATTACAAACACCCCCTGAATTATACAAACCTCAAAAACCACATGAAAAAACAACAGCGTTCTATAAATTAATAGTCAGAATTATGGAACGATTATCACATGCCTTCGATAGAATATCCAACGATGTGGAGAAATTCAAGGAAAAACTCAAACCTTATAGAATCTGAGATCATGCTTCAGTGAAGTGAAGTTTGATTAACACATTACTATGAGATTGAATCGAATGACTGAGTGTTTTGTAATCGTTTTTGTTGATTGATTTTGCTCATACACTGTGAAATTAAGTATGTTTAAATTATCAAATATAGTTTCTGTGGAGATTTGTCAATCCAATGTCTTCCTTATTATTATCATCATTATTATTGTTATTGATGTCTCCTTTAGTTCCTAGAGGAATATAGGCCTTCAGCCACACATATCCATTGCGTCCAGTACTCCGCCAGCGCCGTCACCTGGCTCCATGTCTACACACATGCTTTCATCTCTTCTTCGCATCACATACCCATCCATGTCACCCTCACACTGACGACCAACTGACTTGTCGCCTCCCATTCGCGTTATACTCGAGCGATGGCCTGGCATGTGATGTCACTTGATGATTCGTTTTCGCAGATCATGGTCTCCAATCCACCTCCATTTCTTCTTCAGATCGTAAAATTCTGGCAGTGTAGGATACATCCTCCGTTAGGAGATTTATTACGTAGGCTACAGTGGAATAAAGTCAATCGTTTGAAATGAAAAATAATTGTCATGCGAAATCATGGATCACCAGTCTACATAGCTTGACTATTAAATGAAGTGTTAATGAGACCTGTGGTTATCTTTCGATTATGAATCTTGTCACCTAGATATTTGAAGTATATTCAGAAAGGAGTGAGAGGTTTAATTTGGCTAAGAGTTTCGGTTCATCAGGATTCGCAGATCTCCTTGAAGTAATCACGACTGTCATAAGAATAAGAATAATCACTTTATTCTAGAAAACGACCACGCGTTATATTGTAAATAATTCACTCTTTCTGAGAATGAAATCTAAAAATCGAACTCATGAATCTGTGAAGTCTGTAAACTACTACACACAGATAGTCATTTGATTTGTACTGTTCGTATACTCGATTCATTTATCGTTACAATCCACTACGACAATTTCCTCTTTCAGTCTGTAAAGGACTATAGAAAGCGATGAATTTGACGTCCAATTTCAGCATATATATTCGACGAAGTTTAAACACAAACTAAAGGAATAATTCCACGCAGTGTATACTTTATTGGACTAGATGTTTCAGTGAATAATTCCACGAGAGTGTCGAACTGCAGATGGCATCTGATTCCACTCTGGATGTGGATGTTGCTTGTTTATGTCGGTTGTTTACATTGAAGGTGTACCACTTGGCACGCTGTTGTCTTGTGTTCGCTTCTTCGTAGCCTCACTGTGTAGCTAGTTACGTAAAGATCAGCGTGCTGTTGTTCTTATACAAAGACATTCTGCTTGTTCTACTGATGACTAGCCTTTGAAGTAGTTACCTGTTCTAAGTAGGACAAGTACATTGAAAGTTGAAAATATAAACTTGCATTTTAGGTACTTGGCAACGCCATTCATCTTCTAAAGGGGTATTTCGGTCACTCAGGGTTCAAAATGGCGTATATGTATATATGTCGAAAGTATGAATGGTTACCTGCTTGAAATTTGTGCTAATGGAAACCTTCATCAATATACTCCACAGGAATTCTCTTATTCACTTTGTTTAAATCTGGTAAAAATAGACTTCCAATAGTATTATGTACTCCGGCTATGATTTGAAATATTTACAACCTGCTCGTTCTCAAGCCTCTATTAAACATCCTCGATGTCAGCTTATCCCAGTACATCAGGTGATTGTTCCACATTGGTGTACTTGATTCACAAAATGCAGTCCTGGACATTTTACAACCTTCATTCAACAAAATGTCGTCTTGTGTTACTCGAAGTAGTAAAAGAAGAGATATCAGAATGGAGTGGTTTGTTCTTCAGGTCAGATAGAACTGTGCCACACGATCTATTGTCAGTTAATCTTTTATTTGAAGATCCTAGACGAAGAAAGCGAATATCACGCAATTAACTCGGTACTTTATATGAAAATTGTTCAGAATGTAGCTTTTACTATAATATGATTTTGTACTATTAAAAGATTTTATTCCCAGTCTATTTTTACAAGTTGATCGCGGGTCGATATCAGTTAGAGAACCATTGAAAACCAGCACTCGAGTACTGGACAGCTGTTTTATTAGCCTAGTTTAGGAATAATCAGCTGTACGCACCCGTTAGGTTTCGAACCCAGGACTTCCTGATTACAGGGTAAACTAGCTCGTAGACCATTCAGCCATTGCGACAAACGCTTCTACCAATTTGTGACTGATCACGAATACCAATCAATGTCATCCGTGTGATATCCATCCTCACATTTGATTGAACCTCCCAGTCTATTAATAATTTCATGAATATTGTCTTCACTGTTAGCTTTGTGGCCTGCTGTCATGAGGTAGTTTAACATAGAACTGTTCACAGTTTCAACAGGCCACAAAGCGAACAATGAAGATTCTCCCTCTATTACCTACCGCGTATCAAATAAACTAACATAGTCGTCTCTAGGTATTGAACAGTCCAGACAGCGTAGGCCCTTGCAGTTCGCCTAAAACAACTGAAGGTCTGCGCGAAATAGAAGCAGGTCCAGCGAACATTGTTAATCTAGCCTGATGTCAAGACTCTAAATTCATGAATTCCATATTATTCGTCATAATTTATTTCATATTCAGTCTTGTGTTATATTGATACGCATTATATCTTAGGTAGTGATGCTTTTGAAATGTAATTCTATCGATAAACTAGCGATTTAATGTAATCTGTGGCATTTGTGTTGTCAATAACAATATTTCTGTAGTCTTCACTGTCGTATAAACGGAGAACCTGATGGCGAATTTGAAACTACGGGTGAGCATTCCTCGGAAAAGACTAAAGTAAAGTATTATGAGAGATTAATTTGTGCTGCAGATAGAAGAGTACTGAGTCAGATGACACAATACAGATTACTATTTTATTTAAAGTAAATAATGCTGAGAATTTCGTTTATTCTATAACTGTTCTGTGTAGACTGAAGCTGTTAGTGTTGGTGGCCATTTAATTGTCTGTTAGTTCGAAATGGTCTCCATTTGGCGAGAGAAAAGAAGGCTATCTTTACTCATTCGTAAACTGGTTGGCAGCGTATTAGAGAAATACGATCAGAAGTATTATTGTACAATGTATTGACGTTAATATACAGCCTCTTCACTTAGTAACTTGTAAATCTGTTTCGCTATTGGTGAAAGAATAAAATTCATATTAGCCTACTAACTTCTGTTCTTTCGCGCTTGTTAGCATGCATAGTATTCTGCGTATTAGGTGTGGTCATACCGGACCAGCGATAAGTTTGTGATCTTTGAGGTCTGGACAGCATACAGAAGTTGTTATTATTCTTGGGATACACGAATGAATTTCAAGGACAGTGAAATCCTCTGAGGTTTTTCGGTCAATCTGTACTTCACATTAAATAACACGTTTGTACCTCAATGCTGAGTGTCCGTCGATATGTCGAATGCTAATACGAACTCTTCAACGACGTCTAAATTTAAGTCTGCAGTCATCTTAGTTGAAACGGGTATTGAAAACGGATTCCACTGCTAGTCACAATCAACCAAAACAACACCGTGATTTCAACTAGACCACGATTAACCAATTACAGCGTATGGCGTATTGATAGTATCTGAGTGAAACTCGCAACAACAAGAAGAGGAGCAAAGTTTCACCACAATATCTGAACTCGAAATAATTATGTGCATTATTCAAGTGTTGATTTGTAGGGATTTGATTGAATTGGTTACAGGCATTTCGTCATAAGCTCACATCAGATAGCAAACCATTGGAAAACCAGCACACGTGTACTGGACAGTCAGCTGTTTCATCAACCTAGTTTGAGAATCCTCATCGGTGCGGAATCACCCCAATGCTACTGTTACGACCTAGAACATTGACGTTACACATCAAGTCAGCTCGTAGACCAGTCAGCCACTGGAACCTGACTCACTGACCGGTTCATGAATCCCTTGTCCACTCCACTGCACAATGAAATTACGCCGGAGAAAAGAAACAGTTGACTTCTCCTCAGAAAGTCAACTTGACATGAACGCAATCGCTCACTGATCCAAGTAGATCTGAAACGAGTTATGACGAGTAAAACTCAAGTGCTTCAGTTTGAACACGAAAAAATTCATCAACGAAATGAAGTCAATGTGTCATTGTCACAAATCGAGGAATGATCCTCAGTGAAAATTCATATTTATCACCATAACAAAAGACGATTTAAGAAGGTAATCTCTGTGGCACTTATCAAACAGTAATAGGTTATGTGAGAAATACAAAATTAACTTGAATTAAGTTTGGGTATTTTCGTGTTACTAGTGCTAAGGGGATAAGTAAATCAACTTCTAGGTCTGTTGTCATGCGAACTCATCCGTAGTTGAACTAGACATTGAATTAGCTGATATCAAGTTAATTCAGTCTCACTGATTTATTTTAGGCGCCGATTTATTTCGATGCTGTGGAAAGTGCACTGTGGACCACTGAGTTATTCCATGTTTTGTGAACTGGCGGTAGAGGAATGTATGTAATGGCCAACTTGTTTAGAAAATCCTTCATGGACCATCTACTTATAACATTTCTCCCTATTTAAACTTTTCAACTAACGTCGTAATTCAAGTATCGGTTTGTAGGCATTTGGTTGATTGATTGATTGATTGACTGATTGCCCACAGGATTTCATCGTGAGCTGACATCGGCCAGAAAACCATTCCGACAGCTGCAGGTAACTCTGGACAGCTGTTCAGTTCTAAACACCAATACTTGAATATCAATGAGATGCTCATTAGCGACTGGCCCTATACAGGTAGGTAGTTTTCTGGTGTTCTAGTGGGAAGTCGTGACCAGTAGGGTGAAGCAGGTCAGGTGTGAGGAGAAATACGTCATGACAACATTGACTAGTAGTTGAGCTATTTTGTGAATTGGCAGAAGTTAGAGTTTATGGACTGGCCATTGGATTGTGTGCCAGTTGGTGAATTGTCTACGAACTAGCTCACCTTGTAACCAGATGGCCCTGGGTTCACACTCTGGCTATAGGGTGGGTGGGTGATTAATGAAAGTACCCGAAAGTAGGCTGACAAAACAGCTAACTATCCAGTATTCCCGTGATGGTTATCCAGTGATTCTCTAACTGACAGCAGTTCATGCTCAAACCTGTAGCCGATCAAATCCCTGCAAACCAACA